ACAGCCGTCGGTGCAGAACATGCCTTTAGTGGAGCAATCATTATCACTAGCAGTGTCTCCATGAACAAGCAGGCCCTTGTCTCTTTTCCAAGGGCTAACGGCCAAGAGGGGAAGGGTGGAGCATCTTGGTTCCACCCTCTGAATCTCAAGACAGTGACATTTACCTCGTCAACAGGGCAAATGCATACCATGGACACACCTGACTAGTAGCCACGACAAGTAAAAAAAAATAGGGAGACATTAAAAATTCCTTGCCTTCCCTATCACCCTGTAATATAGAATTTTCCCCTTAAAATAATCTTATAAATGGTAATTATAATCCTAACCAGCCAACAAAGGGACATTTCGTTCACATTGTAAGATCTATGTGACTTAAAAGTTATTGTATTTCCTACTTGAAAATTGGTTTGTTTAAAAGAAGGTACACGCAGTTCAACTCAATATGAGTTCAAAAAGTATTTGTGGATTCATGTGCAAAGTGGACCACATATGTAGCACTAACTAACTCTATCAGGAATTATTGTCAGTTCCAAATAAACTCTTAGAACACAATTCACTTCTAAATTGGAGACTGCCTATACATAAATCCAGTTGATGAGTCATATACTAAAAGTTCAAAATTGTAAAAATGTTTGATCAAGGTCCAAGACTACAAAATCAGCATCTGGGGTAATTCAAACTTTAAAATCAATCATAAAATATGATTTATATGATCTCCTAAAAAGCATGATGTGCACTGAAATATGTAATTAAAAATAAAACCTTAAGACATCACAAGAAAGTGTTTGGTCAAGAACTATAAAGACAATGTTGGCTTAAGTGTTCCCACCAAACAGTGAATATAAGAACATCATACATTGTTAAAAAGACTGGAATGTCATTATGCAAATAAATAGAAACTAGAAATACAAAAAAAAAATTATTAAAAGCAGCTGCCAGAGAAAAATATATTTTTCCTGGTAAAAGGTCAGCTACTTATTTCATTTTCATTAAGACATGATATTTTAAATACTATTTTTTCTTTAAGAAATATCAATAATACCAGCATCCTCTTATGTAAAAGATAATTATTTCTACTTAGCAATTTTCCTTGGTATCCCTGATTACTAGTAAATATGAATTGTGAATTCAAGTTGGTCAGATATTATTCTAAGCATTTTTAATTCCTTTCATTCTACTTATTTATTTCTCTAAGGCAGTAGTTCCTCAGCAGAAGTAACATATCAGAATCACATAGGGACTATTTTGAAAATATACATCCCCAAATGCCATCCCTCAGAGAGGCGCTGACCACGTCTCAAGTGAAGCCAAGTTCTAAAAAAATTCCCCCAGTGATTCTGATTGCTAGGTAAAAAAACTGCTTTGAGGAAAGAATTACATACTTGTTCTGTCCAGAAGAGCTCTTACTTGGTCTGCCATTGCTGAAACTTAGCATGCAAAGCTATCAGTAGCAAAGAGGAAAACTCCACACTTCATTACTTATGGTAAAAAAGTTAGAGAGATCTGATAAAATTATCTATTCAAAGAACATACAACCATACTTAAAAATTTTCTATATATTTATTTTGAAGTATGCATTTAGGACAAATAGTTTTGAAAATATATAAAAATACTTTATGTAGTAATTCAACCTCAATATTTACATGGTCCCTTAAAGAATTTTCATTTTATTTTCATCAAAAATGTATTTCAACAACCTCCACAGTATTCTGAAAAGTCAGGAATTTAAAGATTTTTCTAATAGAAAAATTTTAGTTTCACCTACAGAAAAATAATGAAACTTGGAATGATACCACTGATATTTTAAAATGTAATTCTGACTCAGCTATGCTATGCCACATGTAAGAAAAACCTTCATCACTAAACTATAATAATCCTAATTGGTAGCATTTTATTTAAGAACAAAGCACAAAAGTATTTTATAAAAGAAAATGTCTCCTTGTAAAAAAAGTTCAATGCTTCAAACAAAAATATTGTATCTGAGGTCTGATTTCACAATATCAAGTTTTCATATGCAATTTGTAAACATACACCCCGTATAAGCTATCAACTTAAATAAAGCCAATTATCATTTTAAAAAGATAGAGTAAAAACGAAATTTCAGTGCAAAAATTCATACAACTAAACTTATCAACGTAAGACAATTTTAATATAAAAATCACAACTTATATTCATACTATAAAGTCATCCTATAAAGACTTTCAATCTCTTTAAAATGAAACGCTCTACAGCAGTGATCAAGCTTTCCTTTCGTGACTATTCTCTAGTGAACACTTTCTTCTGATTAGCTTTTACAATGTCATCAGGAGATGCTGATTTGAAGTCAAATGGTGTTATTGCTATAAGAGGACTTATTTCTTTGTCCTTTATGTCTTGAACTTGTCTATTATAAAGAAAAGTCTTATAAAGGTCAAGGGTGCGTCGCTTGCAGCTTTTCAATGGGTAACGAAGACATAGTGTTGAAGCAAAAGCTGAAGGTCTAGCAGCAAGGGCCTTGGTCCATGATAGAGAAAAAGGTGGTTTCCTACTCACAGAGCCTTTACTGTTTTTCTTACTATCCTTAGCAGAAATGGAATGTTTCCCTAGCTTCGAACTCAGAACTTTAGATCCTGGTGTTGGAGCAATTGATTGGTCTACTACAGGTTTTGGGACAAAATCTGAAGTTTTTATAAGAATACTAAGGTCAATATTTGAATCTATTTCAGGTGACCTCATTTCAGATAAACTGAGCTTAAAGGAATCTTTCTTATTCTGAGCACTGTCTATATCAATCGTTTCTGCAATCAAATCAGAAAGTGATAAATTCTCAAAGTCTCTCGTAGGAGTTTTATGAAATGCCAAAGATGACAGAGATCCTGTTAATTCTGATACTCCAGTTGAAGACATACACCGATTTGCTAGTTGTGATAGGGGAAAGGATCCCAAACTGGCAGATGACTGGTTACAAAGATCAGATAAAGTACAGCATTGGGTTGGATTGTTTTCTTTGTGGTCCTGAAACAGTTCAGCTAGGGATGGACTTCCACATTGGAAAAACTGCAAATTGTCGTTTTTTAAAATACAATTCTTCGCACTTTGTTCAACTGAAGAAATGTTTCCAACTTCAGTCATTTTATGAGCGTTTGAATTATCAAGAGCCGTATTTTCCAATGAGCTAGTCAGGGGCAAAGGATTATTTAAACTTTCTAAACTGCTTAGTACTGGAATGTTTTGCAAATCAGGTAGTGAATTATTTTGAATAAATAAAGAGTTATTCGGTGTCGTGTTCTTAATCATTAAGGATTTTAAATCTGGAATTCCTTTGAAAGCAGAATCATCTTTGGGAACAGATTCAGATGCATGAGGTCCTAACAAATTGGCATCTAGATTCTTTGAAAGTAGACTTTCCAGACTATCTGTGGATGATAATCGGACAGGTGGCTGACTTTTAAAAGAATCTCTTGGCATATCATCCATTAGTTCAGCCAGTGACAGCTCTTTTGTTAACTTACATGATTCTAGTTTCTTTTCACTTTTAGGCCTGTCAAGTTTCTTTTTTTTATGGAGTAAAAAGTGACTTGGTACAACTGAGGAATTATGGTATAATCCACATTTTGCTACTGGACCAGAAAGATCAAATGGTTTGCTACTGCAATCCAAATGATTTGCAGACTGAGGACAAGAGCTTTGAACATTATCAGCTGAAACTTCAGAGTAAGATAATAAGACTCCTTACCTTACAAGAGCCATTAATTTTCAGATGAATAGGTTCACATATGCAGAAGACAGTCACAGCAACCAAAAGGAAACATGAAATAAGGCATTAATTACTAAATGCATCTTAGATTATGACATGAATAAAGTGATAATTGATCATTATTTAATAAAAAGTGAACACTCTAAAAATTAGAGAATTTTTCCTTCATTTAACTATCCAAAGTGACCTTCCTACTTTGTTCATTGACATATACAAGTAAGTACCAAGCTAATTAATGTTCTAATTTCCATAAATTTTATAATGTGAGGTTTTTAACATTTAAATTATAGTCAGGAATGTCTCAAATTCAAAATGTCTTAAAAACCAATGGAAAGTAGTAGGCTCATCTTCTGTATTAATGTATTAAAAACAAGCAAACATCATCCTATAATTTAAATTCTACAACGATCTGGGATAAACTATTGATATAGATGACATATTACAGTTTGTATTCATTGTCATACTTGGTTAGTTAAAAGTACTTACCACAAAATTTTTTAAAAAATTTAAAGAAAACAAAAACCACCCTTACTGAATGGTAGCAGACTACATATAACTTTGTTGTGGCAAAAATCTAGTCCTCAGCTTACAGTACTAGTAAATATTCAACCCATTAACAAATCATTATGTTCCTACTGACAATATCTCATACCAGTTACTATAAAAGTATCTCAGTTCCCTTCTTATGTCGACTAAATTCCAAATTTAATCACAAACTCTACAAACTTAAAATTAAACATCTGGCTATAAATGCAAGAGTAGTATAATTATATGTATGATGTTTAACCATTTTTACGCCATAAGCATCTATAGACGCAAGCAGCGGACCTTTTTAAATTAAATTAAAAATATCATGGCAGTTAAGTGGTTAAATAAAAACTAAATTGCTTTTATAAATACTATAAGCATAAAGGGATTTTTTTACATTGTCAAGCTATTAATTTCCATCTCCTGAACCATTAGAGTTAAAAAACAAGAGTAATTTAAAAGCTCTCTAAGTTACTACCAAAAGGCAAGTGTCTTGTTTTTAATAGGACTTTATTTCCCCTATATCCTGTTAGTTATGAAAGCAAGCAGAGAGGCAAAAAAGGCTTTGACAGAGGGAACACAGCACTCAGCTTAAAATTTCACAAACTAGAAAAACAAATGAGTTATTGTAACATGCAAACTTTTCTGCCCATTTTCCTTAACAGCTCAAACAAATCAAAGCCTCTTTTAAAACGTTAACTGTAAAACAACTAAAAGAGAACAAGTAAAAGCATACCTTTTGCTATCTTTCCTGTAGATATTGCTCCTTCATTCTTGACCTTCAATTTCTGCATTTTATCTTGGTCCAGAACCACTGACAAAGCCTTCTGCACATCAAACTTGTTCTTCAGAACTGCTTCAATCAATATGTCATCTGGCACAGCATCTCCAAATACCTCTCTCATATGATCAAGGCATGAATAAAGACGAGCTAGAACAGACAGCAATAATTAAAAGCTAGGCTAAATGGTGTCATGAAAGAACCCTTAATCTTCAAGCCTGAAAGAATTTGAAATTATAGTAGGACGGTTCAACTCTCCTTTTTCCTCTACAACTTACTTATAATGATTATATTTTTACCCAAACATACCTATCTTCTCTATCAAAGGAACAATTTCATTAACAAATCACTGTAAGAAATGTCTCCTAAATAACAATAACTAATGCTTGAAAAAACTGTAAATTGTATACATTAATATCTACTTTAAATGATGATGATGTTTTACATGTGTACAAGGGAGAGGCAGGTGTAAAAATATTTCTAACTTGTTAATGAACCCAGTTAATCACTAAGTATATTTCTTAAAATTTCTTAAATTACTACTACTTTAAGTTTTCTTTTAGGCTAACTTTAGTTTTCTCTCACCAACTAAAATCTTTAAAAATGGGCAAGACAACCTAATATTAAAATGTCACAGGTTGCTGTGAAGATTGAATGCAATAATACCTGAACAACATTTAGAATAGTACTTGGAAAGCATTTAGTAAAGCATAGCTACAATCAATATTATCATTATCATGCCATTACATATGTCAGATGGGAATGATGCTAACTTCCATTCTCAAATAAACTTTGAATTTCGTACCGTCTTAATCATTCTGAAGCACAGGAGAAAAAGTATAAGACTTCTACTCTACTCCTACCCTCTCACCCCACAAAGACAACTATCACGCTTTCTTCAAATATACAATCAGCCCTAGCTGAGGTGGCTCAGTTGGTTGAGCATCGTCCCGAGCATTGAAACGTTGCCGGTTCAATTCCTAGTCAGGGCAAATACCCAGGTTTCAGGTTCAATTCTTAGTTGGGATGCTACAGGAGGCAACCATTCAATGTTTTTCTCTCACATCAATGTTTCTCTCCCTCTCCCTTCTTCTCTCTCTAAAAAAATCAACTGAAAAATATATTTTTAAAAGTATCTTTACCTAAAAATACATACATATACAAATACTATTAAAGAGTTTGTATAGCAACTCTTCTACAAACTTTTATACAGATTATTAAATGTATTTGCAGTTGATAAATTTTTTATTTTATATCTGCTGTTTTCCTTTCTGCTTTCTAAATTTGTATATTTGTTCTTTCTACCCATTTTTCTGATCAGCTCTGAGATTCTTACATTTCAATTTTCAATTTATAAACATTTGTAGAACAAATTCACATTCATAGAGAAAGAACAAATCAGCTCAGCCTTGCTTACTACCAACAGATGGTTTTACTATTATACCTGGCCACCTTAGTTCTGCTACACTGTTCATCAATCTACAGCTTGAGCGATATCTTTGAAATAATGTCATGTTTAAAATTTATTTAAAATACAGGAAAGCCTAAATACAAATATCTTTGTTAAAATGTTTAAGAGAATTCTAAAGATGCAAATTCAGAACCAATGTCATTACCATTTATGAGTTCTATCTTGACACTTGATTTACATGGATATGACCCATCAGGACACTTGTATAGTGTTACTTTGAACTTAAAATTTAAAAAACAAACCAACAAAAACAGCCTCTGGAACCCAATGTTTTGTAAAGAAATGAACTTCTATAATCTAATCATAAGTTCTACATAGATAGAGCATGTGAAACAATAAATATTACTAAAAGAAAACAAATCATTGAACTTTCTCTCTTAAGAAGATCAGGTGAAGATTTCAATAAAAATTCCAGTTACTAAGTAACAGCCACACAATCAATTTTCAAATATACAGTTAACCATACATTAACAAAATATACTTAATAAAATGTATATCCTTTCAAAATATAAGATACATTTATACTAATACTACCCACAATCACTATCATGAACAGTCACAATAAAACTGACGTTCTGGTATACTGGTTATTAATCATTTTCAGATAAAAAACACAGACTACTTTTACTATACCTTGATCAAATTCACTTAGCTGATGGTTCAAAAGAGAACTGGAGGATTCTTTCAGATCTTCATAATCACATTCTTCTACAGGCTCAACAGGTTTGTCACGCCGTGAGTAAATAAACTGAGCAGCTAGAATATAAAATGATTGAAGAATGCTTTTGTAAAGTTAAAGCAAAAATTAAGGATTCTGATCTACTACCTATAGCCATTTATCTACATTCTATAATAATGGATAAAAACAAAGACAAAACACATCATACCCCAAATCCTTCTCAAATGTCCTTACTAACTACTCATTAGCCTCTTATAATCATCTTCCTTATTTCCTCCTATTTTTAAAACCATTACCCTGAGCTTACTTTCTCTATAGTTTTCAAAAACTATCTTTCCTAATATCTCATCCTTGCCTACTACTCTGTTTTCCTTAAAATGTTCTCTTCTTTGGTATAAATATTCCAAGCCTCATATCAAACTTGCTTATTTGTATAATTATGAAAATATTAGAAATATACTGTCTTCAATTTCCAAGAATTGCTAATTTGCCTAAACCCAAAAGTTGACCAAAATCATAGATTAACTTTTGAACAACTCATGCTTTCAATCATACACTGATAACTGTATACTAGTATCATATTCCTAACTTTGACTTTCAGACTTCAGTCTCTGCTACTCTGCAGTACTGGCACAGTGTCATCACTCAATATGTAAATGGTATTATATATTTCATTAAAGGGAGGAAAGACAAAACATCAAAGTACCAATATATACCTGAATATCACATACAAAATACAAGTGAGCAAAGAAAATATCATGCATGCCCAAAGTGTTGACTCTTCTGCCTTGACTAGATGCCCACTGAGCTCAATTCTTGGAGACTTTGCTCAATTGTGAAGGTATAAAATTAAAGAATATGGGAAGAAGGATAGAAATATCAATACAATATTCTAAAGACAAGGTGTTATTAGAGATTTTATATTCTTTAGCTTTCTGGAAGAGCATGCGACATGGAAGTCTATTGCTTAGCATTCCCACATTTGACTTTTGTGCATGTTATCAGAAAGTCATTACCTATGAAAGGTAGGTAATACAATAGATAATACTATGGCTTATGTGTAAAACCTATAATCAAAATGCCCTGGCATAATGCTACCTATTTGTAGAATACATCAATGATGGCCTTATAGATTAGCAGGAAGGCAAAAAAGAAAAATGAATTGACGTATTTTAAAAGCCAAATGAGTAGTACATATAACTTGTGCTGCAGAAGCAGAGATTAAGTAATCACTGAAGACTGGGGCAGTTATAACAAGGAGATATGAACATCAGAAAAACTGACGAATAGAATAAAAGAAATATAGAGCACTTGACAGAATTCAATCTATTCTGCTATAATGCACATTTCCGTAACCAAACTAGCTCATACCAAATGATAATTAGGGTAATAATTAAAGTATACTATTCAAGTTGCTTTGGTTTATGAGATATTCCCCCCAGTACTTCAATGTTTTGCATCACTGCATAATGGCAACAGGTACAAAGTCCACGATTCCAACCATAGAATATCCTATATGATAAAAGCCTAATAAGCTAAGTGTCCGACCATCCCACAAGTCGCTATGACACACACTGACCACCAGGGGGCAGACGCTCTGACCAGTAGGTTAGCTTGCTGCTGGGGTCCCGCTGATGGGGACTGGGCAAGATAGGCCAGACACACCCTGGACAAATCCGTGTGCACTGGGCCGGTTTCGGCCAGATCCCTGCAGGCCAGGCTGAGGGATCCCACCGGGCCTGTAGTTAATACTATATTTATACTTTTTGTGATACCAGATAGCCCCACATGCTTCCTCTAGGCTCAATCTGGCCATGTGTCCTGTCTTTGTGTGTGCTTATTGCTTGGCTCTCTAAGATCTGTAAGCATTTTGCCTCTGCAACATTACTCATCAGTTTTAACTCTTTCTTAACATCGTTTTTCCATCAGGCTTTCACATTTTTAAAAAATATATATTTTTATTGATTTCAAAGAGGGAGAGAGAGATAGAAACATCAATGATGAGAGAGAATCATTGGCCGGCTGCCTCCGGCATGCCCCCTACTGGTGATCCAGTCTGCAACCCAGGCATGTGCCCTTGACCAGAATTGAACCTTGGACCCTTCAGTCCACAGGCTGACGCTCTATCCATTGAGCCAAACCAACTAGGGCTCACCATTTTTTTAAAAATGTGATGACCTATGTTTATTGGAATATTTATTAGAAAGTTCATGTAGCCCTGGCTGGTATGGCTCAGTTAGTTGGAGCGTTGTCTGTGAACAGGAAGGTCTCAGGTTCAATTCATACCATCAGGGCACATACCTAGGTTGCAGGTTCGATCCCTAGTCAGGGCACATATAGGAAGCAACTGATTGATGTATCTCTCTCACAACATTTCTATCTCACTCTCTCTCCCTTCCTCCTTCCCTCTCTGAAATCAATAAAAAAAAGGGGGGGGGAGAAAGTTAATGTATCTCTTAAAAATGTGCAAGAATTTTTATTAAGATGACTACTGTTTTTGTTAGTACTTTATGGATGAGTGGTCTCTCAGGATCCTATTTTTTCCCAGAAGTCCTGCTGTTTTTAGCATACATTTTTCAAGACCACAAGTTGGTCATTTTTCAAGAATGCATATATATCCCTATTTCCCCCCCTCTTGTAGAGAATATAACATTATTTTATAAAGTCAGCCTGGCTAAAACAGCAGAAGAAACATCCTACTTCATAGATACTCTAAAGATGACCACTTTTTTTCACGTTAAAATCTCAGAAAGAGGGAATGTCTCAATCACATGGCATCTTAGCATTATGTAAGAGTTAAGATTGATGGCTGATATTTTTTTAAGTAGTACATAAAATAATGGTACAATCCAGGGCTTCTTAGATTAATTAAAATGTGTTAGTACTATAAAAATGTAAACGGGCCATTTTGTAGTTGGTAACTTATAAATTACTTTCCTGGCTGCAATAAGCCATTCAGTTTAGCCTAAAAGTAACAAATGAACTTGGCCCAACTTCCTCTCGTAGCTCTGAACTGTGAAGAAAAACCTAAGAGAAATCGAAAACTAAGTGAGGCAAGAAGTCATATACTTCTCTCAACAATTTTCACTTAGGAAATATTGACAAAGAAAAGGAAGTTGTCTATGTCCGGGCTTCTACTCTATCTCCTAGAAGCTATTTTTTCTACCCCAAACCCACACACAAATCAACTCAGAAACTTACATTGTGGCCATTGTTTTGGAAATATTAATGGCTGGGTTTCCAGGGGAGATAGGCAAGGAGGAGGGAAGTTAGAGGGAGAAAAAAATGTCCAAATATTTGAAGTTGAAATGAGAACCCAAAAGGTAACAAATACAATTAAAAAAAACAGAAAGGCAATGACAAAAAAGGGGACAAATATAAAGTGCTATTTCTTTCTAAAAATTTAAATGCTTTCTAAAAAATTGGACACCCATGACTTTTTAAATTAAGGTATTTTTACAAACATAAAAGTTCAAAGAATTCAAAACCTGACTCTTAAAATCGCCTAAAATTGTTTCCCGTCACCTTAAAATAAAAATCATGTGAGGCATTCATTTAAGATTTGACTTTCTAGGTCTCTTCCCCTGGAAATAGTTGGATTCAGTGGTGCTGGAATGGGGCAGAGAGTCTGTATTTTTAAAAACACTCCCAGCTGATGGGTATCATCAGGGAAGGTTAGGAAACACTAGGCTACAAGCCTCCTCAGCCTCCCTTGCATCTGCCTCACCTGTAGTCAGTGACTTTGTATTACATCATTACTCCCCTAAAATCAAAACCTTTAATAAGATGACACTACACACCTAAAATTAAAAACTGCCTTCCACGATTTGGCTCCTATTTTCTAGCCCTCTTTCCTACCACAATTGCATTTATCGTGTGAGTCTTCCCAAACGCATCTCACTTAGAAGCCACTACTTAAGCATGTTGTTTCTTCTATCTAGTATGCCATTCTTGCTCCTGTATTTACCAGTCCCAATCCCACCTCTTCCAGAGGCCTTCCCAGACTCCTTCTTCAGGCAGGACTATTTCTCTACCCACCATACTGTTGTGTAGGTCGTTGTTTGAATAGGATTTTTAACTGGCTGCCTTATACACCACTAATTTGTAAATTTATTGGAATAGGCTTTTTTAAATATATTTTATTGATTTTTTACAGAGAGGAAGGGAGAGAGAAAGTTAGAAACATCGATGAGAGAGAAACATCGATCAGCTGCCTCCTGCACATCTCCTACTGGGGATGTGCCCACAACCCAGGTACATGCCCTTGACCGGAATCGAACCTGGACCTTTCAGTCCGCAAGCCGACGCTCTATCCACTGAGCCAAACCGGTTTCAGCGGAATAGGCTTTTTCTTACATGTTAATTGATGCTCAATAAAGGTTTTGAGTTGGAATGGACTGAATAACGACCACTACTGTTAAGGTAACCACAGAAGGAGGCCATTAGACAGAGGTGGCTCTAATGCCTTGGTGGCAAATGGAAAACTAAGGCGGAGTTAATTCCTATAAATGCCTCTGGATTAAGAACAACCAATCACAAAAGCCAACGAGGCTTTCCCAGATAATGTAACCACCTAAGCTACAGACAAGCAAAAACTTCCTTGCTTTACTTTGTGTCTTCTCTATAAACTCTGCCCTTATCTTCTGCAGTAGAGAGCTCCTCACCACTTGCAGTTTGGAGCTGCCTGAATTAAATTATTTGCTCAAATAAACTCTTAAAAATCTGAATATGCCTCAGTTTATTTTTTCTTTATTTTTTTTAATCCTCACCCAAGGATGTTTGTATTGATTTTTAGAAAGAAGAGGAATGGGGCAAGAGAGAGAGAGAGAGAAACATCAATCGGTTGCCTCCCATATGCCCCTGACTGGGAATCAAACCCACAACCTTTTGGTGTACGGGACAATGCTCCAACCACTGTGCCACATAGCCAGGGCCCTCAGTTTATCTTTTAACACTTCTAATTATATTAATTGAAACAAAATTCACAATTGTTAAAGTTTTATATATAGGTTTTTTCAGCTATCTCCAGCTCTTTGATATGTGCTCAATATTCAGTATCAAAGTCAAACCTCCTGCC